TACCTGCCTCTAAGTGTACAATATATGTAAAATAAAACCATTAACACCTGTTAATTGTTATCCATCGATAATTTTTATTGTTTCTCGGCACGAAGTGAGGTTAATGTGCTTTAACTAGGTGCATTAGCTATACATAAAAAACTTTAGAAGCCTATATTATTTTATTTCTAAATTTATTAACGATATAAATTAATATATACGTACCTTTCTTCTGAATTCATTGTTTGCATTTGTACACCGTTAAAATATTTCTTCTCACTCTTTCGCTCAATGACAATTATGCACTAAGTAGACTTAGTACTACACCAGTGTATTTCTTAATACAATTTTGCTGCTATTGGTCGAATAATACTACTTTTCATCTTTCTATCGTGCTTATACATTTCGTTCCGATGACTGTTGCTTGCAACGATACCTGTCGTTACTTGCAAGATACAGAATAGCTGCGGTGTATCGACGTCGATTGTGCAACCGACAGATATCGTTACTTATCGATTCGACAAATGTCGGAACCACGGGAACGGAATAGCAGCCCAGATCGTAATCGCCTAGTTTGTTCAATCGCCTTAGTGTTCTAACCGCCAGCTCGCTGTGGAGCCAAGTTCGGTTCCTAATCGGTACGCGAGGGACGTTGCTTTCTTCTAACATTCACATTAAAATAGGCGCACGCGGTCACAACTAAATAACAGTGTCTTTCTGACTTACGGTACAATCGTGAAGCGCATGATGAATTTTGTCTCATCGCAGTTTTCTGCAGCCTATCGTATGTCGGGCGTTGTCTGAGGTTGACGCTGCTCAGCAGGACTGTCTCTGCTCCCCGTAGTTCGTTGCACGATGGTTGGGGCAGGTCGGCTTAACAGCTGATGCTCTGTAGGGTCCGGTACCGCTTACGTCAGGTAATAACGGTCGTAGCTCTGACGGCCGTCCTATACCCGCAGTAGCGCTAGCTCTCTCTGTCTCCGTTTCGTCCCACAGTATTGTTAGTAGTACGTCCTTCTAGGCGTTGAGTGGTTTTTTTAGGCTTGTCTCCGTTTCGCCTTATGGTCCCAGTTTTTTTTGTCTTGGAGGGCTCGCAATAACTTTTTGAGCTCTCTCCTAGATTTTTTTTCAAGTAGACTTGTCTAATGTATTTACGGTGTAGTTGTTTTCTTTCGGTCGTGTAATTTCTCGCCTTTCCTTGAGATAGCCGGTAGCGTTTATCAATGGACGTATCTCCGACGTCCACTAGCTGACTCCGACGATTTCTCGTTCGAATTTTTCTTTCTTTGTCACTTACACCACCTTTTTCTTACACGTAATTCACTTTTTGTTCACAGGTAGCACCCAGGGCCCGGCGGACACCGATCCCATCGCTGCCATCAAATTTGTCGCGCTCTTCGTTGCTGGGTGTGAGCGAGAAAGTTCGAAATCGATGTTGCGGGCGCGGCAGGGTGTGTGGCGGTGGGAAGGATACGCTAAAGAAGAATGTAGCCACGTTTTATATAAAAAAAAGGCTTTATTATACCCCGTACTGTTGAGTTTTATTATAACTCCCGAATTCTTATAGTATGCGCGAGATGCGCGACGGGTACGTATGTTGCGAGCGAGAGACCGAGGTCTTAAAATCTGTCGCGGGTGGTCTCTCCGCTCTTTTATAATATTATTTAGTCTTGTCGGAGGGAGTGCCTTGGTAACAAGGAGATTACCATATTTGGTGATAATTCAGTGCGTTTCGACTCGAGGTCCGAAATGCGGGATGTGCAAAGTAGTGCTTAGCGCAGCACTTACACGTCCGCTTTCTTGTCGTAGCGTAGTCGAAACGGTTCCTCATGAAGCGTTTCGGCAGCGCTAATAATATTCGCGATTATAACAATGTGTCTCATGTACTTGTATTATAATAAATATGGACATTTTCACTGCAATAAGAGTATGGTACTTTTTTAAGTTTGTAATAATTTTTTTAAAGACACACATACATCTAATTAGACTATCTTTATAAGTAATATTAAATTTCAAATCTTTTAATCTACAAGCAAATATTACATGCTAATTAACGGTTGCTCTAAATGCAATATTACATACAAATTAACAATAATATGAATTAATCTTAAAACATAATGAAGAAATCAGATTTCCATATGATTTCAGTAAAGTTCGATATATTTCAGTAATTTTCATCAACATTTCAATGAGAGAATTTTCATATTCTAGCATGTAGAAAAATAAAAAAAATTATATTTTAATACATCAGTCAATTATCATCAATTATTAACAAAATTTATCAAGATTTCGTTATTTTGTCAAAACTTTTCACGAAGTTTTTCATTGATCAATAAATGAGATAGATTAAGTATTTATTTACAATTTATTATAAATTGTAATTTTTTCATCAAGTTTCAGCGCAATT